CTGTCTGAGCAGGCAACCTCAGGAATAGCTTTACTAACATGGATATATTGTAGCTTGAATTTCTCTTTTGGCCTTATACATTTTTTTTATTTTTAAGTTTTATTGAGAGTACTCTTTAAAAACTTTTATTCCTTATAACATAGTCTTTGCTCTTCCTTGTCCATTTCTGAAGTACTTTTTCAAAGACAGGATACTATTTTGGTTATGAGCCAAGACTCTGTAGTCAGATTCTAGATGTTCATCATTTGGCTCCATCCTTGACTATTCATGCACCTTTGGCCAACTTACCCCATAGCTTAAGCCCCAGTTTTCTCATGTGTCATGGCAGTGGTTTGTACCCTATAAGATGAGTGTCAGAATTAAGTGAGATCTTTGTAAAGCCTAAATTGCAGAGTCTGACTCAAAGTGCATAGTTGCCTTCATTATTGTTCCCCGAGGGGCCTGCTAGGGATGTTTATTTATATTCTTATTTCATTGTCTTGGTTTTCTTCTCAAATTCTTGTTGGAAGAAGATATGCTATAAATAATAAATAATTGTGATTTGTTCTTTATTTCTAAAGAAAGCATTAGTCAGTGGGATTTATAGAGTCATAGTTTCTAATGCTCACATAGAGAATTCAGGTGGATGCTAAATTTCTCTTGCAGTGGTATTTGCTCTGGAAGAACATGGTAATAGATGAGGAAGTCAAATCATGACTTTTTTCTCTGCTGGTAATAATATCAACTCTTATTTCTCAGTTTTTCTGGGTATATTCTATTGATTAATCTTGAAGACGAAAGCATTAGAAAGCATTATGTCACTAGATTTATTTTTTTATTTTTTTTTTTATTTTTTTTTTGGTCTTTTTGAGACAGGGTCTCCCTGTAGCTCCAGCTTTCTGGAACTCACTCTGTAGACCAGGCTGGCCTCAAACTCACAGAGGATCCACCTGCCTCTGCCTCCTGCTCCTGAGTGCTGGGATTAAAGGCGTGTGCCGCCACGCCCGGCTATACTTACTTTTTAAATACTATGACATACTGTATTTATTATTCTGTTATGAACATGTAAAATGTCCACAAGGACAGGAGTAAGTAGAATGATCTAGAATCCAGAGCTACCATAAGGTAATTATGTGATTCTCATATCTGATTATGAAGAAGAAAAATTTCTGGAAAATTTTGTATTTTCCTACCATAAATATTATTTTACAGGCATTATGTAGGAGGTAGACAATGTGGAAAGAGAATTAAAGCTTTCTAACAACCTGGATTTTTTCTTTGTTTTGCTATAAAAGACTGTTTAGTCTAATGAAAAAAATGCTAAATCTTTGGTAGAAGCTGAATATGTGCATATTGCTAATTATCAACCTGTATTTGGATTGCTCATAATATAAGAAAGACACACAAAGTTCTTGTGATTAGGAAAGTAGTATAAATTATTTAATGGAGTTATGCACATCATGTAATCAGACACTATATAAGTTTACGAAAACTAATTTATTTCTCTATCAGACTTACTGGAGGATTGCAGTAGAAACAAGCCCAAGACACAGTGTCAGAAATAGTCTTGTATGCAGCCACAAAACATGACATGGAGAGTTCGGAGGCTGTTGGATGCAGTGGAACAAAGCAGCCGTGACTTGCTCGTTTTTCCTCCTGGCTCAAGAGGCATATGTTCTAGTATTCTCTAAATGTGCGAATGAGGAATTACATTCAAAGATTCTGAAATGCATTACTAAAGATCCTCTTTTTATTCTAAAACTATTTGCAGATTGAGTAGTTGCTTATCACTAAAATTGAAAGGAAACTGAGCTTGTATAACAATGTATCATCAAATAAACAAACAATGGTTTAATAGGGCAAGAGTTTTCTGGGGTTTTTTTTTCCCCTTTTAAGACAACTGTGTTTTTTAATAAATTGCAAATGACTTATTTGCACACTCCACAGTACCCATCTTCAGCCTATTTTTATATCCCCCTTCAGGCATGCTTAAACTTGGGGATTTGTCATCGACTTAGTACATATTGATATTCTTTCGGAAATAGGATATGATATAGTATAATATGCACATAATCAGGATTCTGTCTAGACTAGTGAAGTTAAAAGTGACAGAGCACATACACAAAAAAAATCAACAAAATTTTAAAAATGTATTATATTTGAGGAGGAAGCATGGAAATTTACGTCATGCTAATTAGTAGAGGTGATAAACATTACCATTGAAATCTACCCGATGACTTCATAGACATACACAGGCACCAGGGATCCAAGTGCAACCGATTATGACTAGTAATAATCAGATGCATGGGGGCCTAAGGTCAAGCAGCATCATATTAATGAGAATGTGTGACCCATGGTAACCTAGAAACAGAGACATGAAGGAGCCAGAAAAATACATAGTCTTTCAGGATACACTTCCAAAGGCTACTGGCTCTAACCATGTCTTACCACCCACAGCTCCACAACCACCTGATAGTATATATCAGAGACACTGTGATCTTACAGATCCCAGAAACACACTTACTGACATAATCAGAAGTGTGCTTTATTATTCTCCTAGACTCAGCTAAATCTGTAGTGAAATGCTTCTTCTAATCATGTAGTTATTAAAAATTTTTACAAATGATTTTTTAAAAAGTGACAGAGCAAAAAGAATCTCTTTTGAAACAGGATACTTTAGAAACTATTTTACCTAAATATTTGTGAAACTTGCAGGCTTCTGTAGAATAGTAGTATCTTATAACAGTATTAAAATTGAGGTTTTAATATCTAAACTGTCTGATGGATTTTGGCATATTAGTTCAATTGATGTTCATCATTTTTGACTGTCCTGGCAAAAGATAATGTGAAATTTTCTCAAGTGTTTCAGTGAAGATAAAGAAGAGCCTCTTGCAGAAGCACATTTCAAAAATATAAAGTGGCACACCCTGTCCATGATCTGGAAGAGGGGAAAGCACACTGCTTATGTTGAGTGCTAAAATATAATTCAGAATTCCACATCAGTGACTGATGACCAGTCTTAAACCTTAGCAGTTTTGACTAAGTAAGATCGAATTCTTCAATCTTTTTGGAATGCTGCCTTTGTGTAGTAGAATACTTTATTTCCCAAGTCATAGTTTCATTGAACAAAAATTATGCCTGGGAACAAATTGCAACCAAGAACTGCTTTGAAACCTGCCAAATCAAGATTTGTGCTTTCTTCATTCCTGTTACACAGGAAGGATATGGCAAATGTTACCCTGAAATCTTCAGACCGGGTTTAACCATGTATGTGGCTTCTATTGTGTATCTGCTTTCCCAAATACATGAATGACCATGCATTTTTCTTTTTCTTTTTCCCTCTTTGTATTTTTGGTACAGGATCCTGTTATGTAACCCAGGCTGGCCTCAGATTCATAGCAATCTTTGACCTCAGCCTCACAAGTGCTTAAGCTCATAAGTATTCACTACCATACCTATTTTTCTCTACATTAAGGAAATATTTGCACAATGTTTCTATAGAGTAAAGAATAATTTAATTATAGCATCCAAACTAAGTATACCAGTTTTCAATGAACATGTAATATACTGTTCTTACTCCATCACAAATCAGTTCTGTGATCTTGAACAAAACTATTGTCTTAGTTTGCCCATCTATTAAATGGGTAGTGTAATAGTACATACCTCCAGAGGGAATCAAACCATTTGAGGACTTTAGCAGAGTACCTGTTAAATGATGAGTTCTCAAAAGGATTACTTAATGCTATGATAATTTTGAAGTGTAATTCCTTTATCCCAAAATGGATCTTTATGTATTTCCTTTGATCATTTATAAATTTTGAAATAATAGTGAATTTTTTTAACTGTGAAGAGACCGTATGGTCTTTAAAAAATATATAAGTAGAGGATCATTGGTTGATACTAACTTAAGTTTACACCCTCACTTGTTTCTGCCATTCCCAGCCTACATTCCAGACTAATATATGGAGATTTTAGTTTCAATTGAGGAAACTTGGAGCAATTTATCTTTCCATTCATGCCTTATCAGCCACCTGCTCTGTGGGAAAAGCTTGAAAATAGAACTGGAAATGGCCACATAGAAATGTGTATTGGTTGCCCTTTCTCATATGAGAGGTCAAGAGTAGGCGAAATATAAGAAAGAAAGAGATGAGGTTAGGCTCTGTACTCCGTTTCTCTGTCTGTTCCCTAGGCTAAACCTGAACTGGCCAAAGCCACTTCATGTGATAATTTCACATGAGTAAATACTGGTTTTGTGTTTTCTGCCTGAGGCAGCCAGGTATTTGATTTTTCCATCAGCTAGTGAAATTCAGTGAGGGCTTAGAACTCGAGGTAGTGTGTACATTAATATTTCTTGGGTAGAGAATCATTTTAATTGTTTGAATATAAATAAATAATCTTTTGCATTATTATATCTATACAGTATTCACAAACACTTATAGTCTTGAATTACTACTAGCCTATTGACAGAATCATTTGTGTTTGCTTTAAACCTGAATAGAACTGTATTTTTAAATACAGTGAAAAGTTTGAAATCTTCCATTTATTTGTATGCCAAAGAAAATTTAATTTTCATGAATTGGAACTTTTGTTTGTGTTTTGAATTATGAACCTAGAAGACCAAGAACTACAAAGCCATTTTGTCCTTAATTTTAATTACATAGTTTGATATAAATCAATAGAAAAATCTTAGGTGTAAAACCATGAAGGATTACGCTCCATTTTCTCATTTCGTGCATTTGTTTCTGCTGTTTAGAATAGTAATAATGATGTTATTGACAGGGACACTTACCATGTTGATTTAAAAGTTAGTTTTTTGCATATATATTCATGCAGTTACTGCTTTGTCAGTTTTATCAGAAATAAAGTAAATGCTTATTGTCTTCAGTATTCTCTTAATTTATAAGAACAATTTCCGCATCACATTTATCATGGTCTAATAAATGTTGAACTTTACAGATGAAGAACAATTAGAAAATGATAAATATTAATTATCAAAGTATTAAACTATTTTTCTCTTACAGTGAAAGATTTTTCTTGAGACTGAATAGAAATGGGCTTCCCAAAGCCCCGGATAAACCCGAACGACATTGCTCTCTCTTTGTGGTAAGTGTGCCTTGTCTCATCCAGAGGCATGCCCTTCCAATCACATTTGCTGTTGAGGAAAAATAAGCTATTTTAAGAGAACATCATGAATCTACTTACACTTTGTAAATAGCTCACAGATGACATTAGTGGCCAGAATTCTGAATGTCATTAATCACAGTATTTAACACATCTGCTAGAGGACTGTTGATCCTGTTGCACCATTGGTTAGCAAAGCTTAGTGATTGGGCCTGGCATGGTACTAGCTATCTACCACATGCTTCTTAAATATTAAAGAATGGGAGAGTGAGAGACTCAATCAGCAACAGTCTTTGTTCTGAAGTATTTTGACATCAACTAGTCTGCACTTGATTGTGCTGACGTTTATAGAACAGCATTTGAATGATATTCTCCTGCCACAAGCATCCCATTACAAATGTTTTTGAGTGCCCTTGTCTTTATGTGAAAATAATGTGCTGTGCTCTTCAAGGGCTGCTGCACAGACTGTGAGTTCTAAGATAACCAGACTTTTTTTCTTGGTAGGATTTGGGTAGCAGTGAGCTAAGGAAGGACATCTACATCACCGTGCACATTATCCGAATCGGTAAGTTCAGCATTTGTGACTGCGCGAGTGGCAATACCGGAGAGGTCTCTATGTGGCTTATTCTATTTTTCTATCTGGAACCAAATTTGAATCCAAGAAGCTCAGAGGTTGGGAATTATTCTCTGACCTCTTTAAACACACCCCTTCCCTATAAATAGAATTTTTGTCCTCTTTCAATATAAGTTGTTAAATACTTGGCTGTATTTTACTGGACCTCCTGAACATATTTGATTTAAACATTTTGTATTTGTCTTTTACTTGTAAATAAAATCCACCTTTAGGTATTATGCTTCTTCAAACTTTTGAACTCTTTATAGCAACTGGCATTGTCCTGCCTGCAGAATGATACAGACCTCTGTAGTAGAATGTGGTGTGAGAAAAGGCTTTTGAGATTCTCGATACTGTATGGTTTTTAGTTTATGTAGTATCACCAGTTCATTAAAGTATCTGAAGGGCAAAATAAATATTCCTCTAACTTTGTCGACCCTCACATTCCTCGAGTTTGACCTGATCATGAGAACATATAATGCAGCACTCCCTCAGAACATATTTTGGTAGAGCCAAATATATTCTTTCATTTTATCACATAAAATCCCTCTAAAATCAGGCACTTTGTCGTACAGCAGCTAGGCAAATGACTGGTGGCGCCTGCAGTTTTTCTGTTATGGCTAACCATGGGGCATCTGGTCTCCCTTCACCAGTGTTGCCGCGCCCCTGGCGTAGCAGTGCATCTGCAGCAGAGCAGCAGCTTACCATGCTGTCCTGCCAAATCAGCTTTGCTTTGTAATGTTTTAGTTTACACATTCAGTAGCCATGTTGTATTTTGAGGGAAATTATAAAACATCATTTCTGAATACAGATTTTCTGTATTTTCTTCTAATTAAAATGTGTTCTAAAAAGCTATTTTAAGCTATTTTTATATTTGAGGAACAGGGTTACTAATTTTTTAAAAAGGAAACTGGTTTTGATTTCTGTTTGTTTGTTTGAGGAGTATTTTTTGCTTTGTTTTGAGTGAGAGATGGTCTTACTTTGTAGCCCAGGTAGACCTACAACTCACTGTATAGCCTAGGCTGGCCTCAAATACCCAATTTTCTTGCTTCAACATCAGAGTATTGGGATTACAGATGTGTACTACCTCTTGGCTCTGTTTTGGGCTTTAATTTTTCTTTATGTAAATAAATGTGTGATAAAATACCTAGAAAGACTCTTAAAATAGTGGAAAAGTTGGCCTCTCTGCTGCTTCATACTTCTGAGATAAAACCTCTGTCTGTTTCCAGGGTGACAAGAGTGTAGTTTGTTTTAAAACTTTCTTTTTCTTTGGTTTTATTGAATTCTAAATCATAATGCCAGTTGGTAACTTAAAATGCTGTTTTAAATATACTTGTAGAAACACTGAGATGGTCTCCTAAAGCCTTTAGAGTAGTAAAGCTCTTTGGCTTGGAGAACATTCTAGTCAATACCTGTACATTTGGGGTGATAACCATCAGCAGTGCCTTCACTCGTAGAGTTACTGCTGAAAGTACCACCTCGGTACTATAACGTCACAGAGCTGTATTACAAATACAGAGTATTTGGTTAATAATTGTCATTTTTCACTTAGATTTTCATGTTCATTAAATCATCAGAATGAATGTTCAAGCACGTATAACCGACCCATCCCCACCCCTCTGGATCAAATAAATACCTGCAAAATACCAGAAATATCTATTGGTTCTGTAGTTTTGAGACTGGGTAGAAATGAAATTGACAGTAAAACACGTTGAGAAAAGTTAAGACTTAAATCTGCCAGCACTTTTGATGCAGTGAAATTAAAGGGTGGAAGATGACTATCTGTAAGGACAGATGCCTCTTGCTTTTTATAGAATGTTCATTGGATCTGCTTTACAGGGAAAAGAGCATCTTGACCCTTACTGGTTGCCAAAATCAAGAGCAGTAAAACCTCAGTTCTGGGAATTTCTGGCCAGGTCCTTGATTTGGAAAGAACAAAGAAGGGAAGGGGGGAAAGCTAGTAGTTTTAGAAGCCGTGCCTACCCTGTTACAACCTCCCTGCTTTCCCTTTGCCTTTTGGATGGTTGCTCAGTATTTGTCTTCCCCCACTCTTCCTTTCTGTTTAGAGAATTTTTCTAGAAATCAACCAGAACTGTGAATTCCTTTCAGCCTTACAATTGGAAACACCAAAGCTGGCATCAAATCTCTCTGATATAGCCTTGGTCTCCAAAGTTGTGCCCACAGAGCCAGGAAAGAGAATTTCACACTAACAGCATGCTCAAAACTCCAGAGGCAAGGATAGAGATTGATGAAGCTCAGTACAGATCTTCCCCAGTGCTTATGAGGCCAGGGCTTCTCAGACCCCCTCCTCCACAGCTTTTTCTTCATTTTCTATAATACAGTACTAGAGAAAAAGAGGATTAAGTGACAAAAACAGGAAGATAGTGTGCCATGACCTTGTATAAATTATAGGAATTAAGAGCTAGAAGAGGTCTCATTCACTCTCTATTTTTTACTCATTAGCTTCTTTTCTCACATTGAATAACTTTTAAGCACTCCTCAGGAATTTCCTGATCATTTTGTCGTCTTGCATGTACAAAGAAATGAATAATTTAAAAAATGTATTTTAAATCATAATACTAAGATTATACTGTGTAATGTCACCCTGAATATTTTTATTTAACAAATGGTCAGAGCTTTAAGTTTCTTTAAATCAGTTACTGACTAAATATATGATTGGTTGATAATTAAATTTAAATATGACATTAGAGGGTGTTTAGTTTGCAGGCAGAACTTACATTAAAGTTCTGTAGACAGTCAGTACATGATATACTTGAAAGAAATTATCTTTATGAAAGCTATCACCGTGCACAATAAATATATGCCTTAAAGTTTTTAATTAAAAAAAAATGTAATTATGTAGACCGAAATAACAGAAGTGAACTGAGGTAGTAATTACCTGTGGCCTGTGGTAGGAGGAATACTCATTTAGTCATTACTCATTAGAACTGCATCATGAAAATGTGACTTTTAAAATTCTTAAAATGCTTAAAAAAAAAAAAAAACCTGACTTCTTTTGCCCATTTTTTAGTCCAAGGGTGACCTTGTACTCACAATCTTGTCTCAGTATCTCACGTCCTAGGCATGTAGTTGTGTTGCCAGCACATCTGACCAAAGTTGAAACTTTGAAATGGTTATTTGAATATGGAATGTTTTAAAGTAGAAAATGAATTGGGCACCGTGATCCTCTGGGATGCCTTGACAAATCATCAGAGCTAGAAGATGCTTTCCATACATGAGATCTGTTCCAGGCTTTATGTTTTACATGTATCTTGTGTCTCCTTCATGCCCAGAGTTGAAGCTGCTTGCTCAAGCCCACACAGCTAGGTCAAGACAGGAGTCCTGAACTGAAGTGTTAAAGTGCAGTCATCTGTTGCCCCATTGCTGTGTGCTTCTAAGCACCCTGTTCATTTCATATGACCTGTCTTTTACCTGTGTCTGTTTTTAAGATGCATCTAATCACATGTCTCCATGGCTCATGATTGCCTCTTAACTGGACAGGTCGAATGGGAGCAGGAGAAAAAAAGAATGCCTGCAGTGTTCAGTATCGGCGACCCTTTGGCTGTGCAGTCCTTAGCATCGCAGACCTGCTAACAGGGGAGACGAAGGATGACCTCGTCCTGAAAGTATACATGTAAGAAATGTGCATGTGGTAGGGCTGCTATGAGCCCAGGGTACCTGAGGATTCTGCCTGGGCTACTTTGTATGGGCACAACAGCAGAAAAGGTGGGTTTGAATCATTTGTCAAAACCCTAGTAATCTGCAGACCTGCTACAAATGAGCCCACAAGCCACTACCTGTTACAGCAACTATGACACTGGGTATCAGTGAACACAGACAGTTTCATAGTTTCTCAATACAGGTAGATCATCTCCTATGTAAATACTTCCTAGAATTCATAAACCTAGCATGTCTTTACCTTTACACAATTAATTTGTTCTTAGAATATAAAAATACAATATTTTTAAATATAAGTAAATTAGAATTAGAAAAAGGAAGTTCAAATCATTACCCCTTTACTGGGTATATTAAATTGTTGGAACTGCTACAACAACATATCATAAACAACTTGGCTTATACAGCAGAATTATTGTCTTCCAGTTCTGGAGGACCAAAATCTGAGGTGGTGTGGCAGGACTGGTTCCTTTGGGAGACTGTGAGAAGATCTGTTCCACTCCTCTCTCCTATTATCTGGGGGTTTGCCGGCCACCTTCGGCATTCCATGCTCAGCCTTCACCTCTACCTGGCACTGTCCCTGTGTGCATAACAGTCTTGTGCTAAAATTCTCTTTTTATAAGGACATATTCATTCTGGATTAACCTCACTATAACGTGGTTACCTCTATGAAGACCCTCTTTCCACATTTTGAGATGCTGGGGGTTAGGATTTCAATGTTATTTTGGGTGGGGGTAACACAGTTCAACCTATAATACTTCCAACAAAATCAGTTGATCTAGTCTAAATTCTGAGGTAAATGATTGTTAAAATGCATGTTGGTTTGCATTAGCCCACTCTGACCACTACCTCCCCACAGATTTGATAGATAAGAGCTGATGGACAGTAATGTCATCCAAGTGGACCTACTGGGACATCCGTACCTGGGTTTGAAGATTACAGTGGGTCAGCTCCATGAGCAAACTTACTTTTTTGTTTCATTCTACAGTGCATTTTTTGTTTACAAGTAGTTTTGTTCAGATGTGGTGGTATGCTATCTGGCCCGCTGCTGTAGGACATAGTCTTCAAATTGCTTTGTGACCACTGCTGCAGGAGTTCATGGATTTATCTACTCTCTGCCCAGTGAACCCCTGCAACACATTCAGTAATTAGTTGACAAGCAGATTCCATTATCTGTAGCCTCTAGTTTATGACTGGAAATTTTTTTTTATCCTTTTTAAGAGGGATAAAACCTATGACCTTCATTTTAAACTTGAAAACTTCATGAAATAGCACTTCTTAGTCTTTTATCAAATTGTAGCCCTCACCATTGATGGTTAGGATTAAATCCATTGTGATATTCTCTCCAAATGCTGCTGATAGTCATAAAACATAACTTGTTTGAGACAGTGGTGATTGATAATAGCCATCCCTGCCTTGTGCTGTGTACTGTGTACGAGGGACTCTGTTTACTGTTAAGCACAGTGTCATCCTCACAGGAAACCCATGAAGCAGATGCTGTTGGGTCAGTTTCACACAGAAGGAAACTGAGCAGTAAATCATTTGCTCCAAATCACCTGGTTAATAGCAAAGGGAATCAGAATACATCTGACTCTGGAACCTCAGCTCTTGATTCATCTGCTCCTGATTTTATGGAAGTGATTTCATACCACTGTCAAGTAAATGTATTCATGATGGAACCCAGCATTACTGAAGAAAGCCAAATTCTTCATGAACACAGCCTCATTGCTTCTTAACACATTCTTTCCAGGTGTGGTGGCGAGTATTGTATTTATCTTGCCACTAGGAGGATGTAGGCACTGACAGTGACAGTTGTCACCCTCCATTATGTAGCCAGCTATAATGTACCATTTTAATCCCCACTCTGCCTATGGGAGATGCTTGTTCTCTGCAAAAATAAATTGTGCTACTCTTTAAAGTTTTTTATTGTCTGTTTTGTTTTTTTTTTTCTTAAGCATTAAATTAGGTTTTGGTTATTCTCCCAATGCCAACTCAGCAAATTGTGAAACCATTTCAAGAGAATACTAACCAGTCAAAGCTATCACTGACCGCAGGAAGCAACCAAATTCAGTCAAGCACTTTAGCAAAATGCCTATTAGAAACCATTTAGAAGAAATTTCTGTTTGTTTAGGTGACTGAATTTCCACCCCCATCTGGAACTCAAAATATAATAACCAATACCTTTTATGAGCCTGGAAGATATTTCAGTCGTCTGCTTTAGGAGCTTTGATTTTACCTGGAAGTTCTTAGGTTAAAACATAGATTCTAGAGTCTAATAGGAAGCAAACATCTTCCTTTCTTCCCTACTGGGCAGAAATAAGAAAACTCAAGGCAAAATGTATTAAATGGCAATTTCATCTCACAGCTAGACAGGTAAAATGTTTTTTTCCATCTTAATTTTGTAGCCCTCGAAGGTTCAAGGATCAGTTTAGTATCCTGCTGTTAACTTTACTGAAAATAACTTCTATCATATTCATCCTGTAAACCCACTATGATATATAAAGATATATGCTAATAATTATGAATTATATGACTCAGTCATGTATACTAGGAAGAGTAATTAATGCTGTAGAACCTTTTAATTGGTAGGCTATAGAATCTTGATATTCAAGGCCCTTGTGAAAGGAGCATTTGCAGCTAATAAGAGATAATAGTAAATTTACAGACAGTTCTAGGTTGGGAAGTTCTCTGCAGTTTCATTAGGGCAGTTGTAGCAGTAAAGATGAACAACAAACAAGTATCTATTAGCCATTAGGAGTTACCAGTCAGTGAGACATCCAACCACCGTCCATCCATCCATCCATCCATCCATCCATCCATCCATCCATGCAACTAGTGGTTTTAAGTCTCTTCTATGTGCAGATATAGAAGATATCAGATATCAATCAGTAATTGATCCAGTCCTAACAAACCCTGATAGTCTAGTAGGCGATTCATACCATGTAAACAAAGGTAACCTGAGTTAGTGAATGACAAGAAGGAAAAGCCAGGGCTGGATGTGACTCAGTAGCAGAGCAGTTTCCTAGCATGTGTGAGGCCCTCGCTTCAATCCCCAGTACTACCAGAAAAAGCAAAAAAGAAAAGAGGTACAGATGACTTTGAAAGTGAAAAGATGGAATGATGCCATTTCTCAAAGGCGTGAGCTATCTGAAAATATTTTACATTGCCCTTTGGTAAATTCTGCTAGCCTTTTGCCTGTGTTAGCATCAATTTCATTTTGCTTAATATGTTGCATTTTTACTTTAGTCAGACCTGGTCATGTTACAGAAGGCAGAAATTCTCTAATGAGAGCCAATATTTATGGAGCATTTGCCGTGTATCATGCGATATACTTAAGCCCATGCTTATTTAATGTCCTAGTATATTAGTTACCCCTGTTTCACAGATGAAGAAATAATAAAGAGAAAGTGAATAACTTGCCCAAAGTACGTAACTCATTTAATAAAGAAAATTTGAATCTAAGATATAGAAGTCATAGTCTGCAATGCAATAGCACTCAATGTGTTGTTCATTGAGATATATGTTTTCTGTTTGGAAGCACTTGTAACCTTTGAGTTGTTTGTCTCAACAGCCTCTGCCATGAGGTAAATGCATAGGCATTGCCAAGTTTGAGCAGTCCTGCTCATGGTGGGACAGCCATGCTAAACCTCATGGCCAGTCATTGGGGGTTCTAAGGAGGAAAGCACATTCTAGCCGTTTGGGCCAAGAAAGCAGGCATGCTATCAACGTTGTTGCTTGCTGTCATGCATTAAAGCTTAACTGAGTGATCATGTTTTCATAGGTGTAATACAGAGAGTGAGTGGTACCAAATCCACGAGAACATCATCAAAAAGCTGAATGCACGCTATAATTTGACTGGCTCCAATGCAGGTGGGTGTATGCAGCTGGCTGGCTTTCCCTACACTTTATTTGAGACCCTTTGTCTGTGTGAGATGGAAATGGTCAGCTCTTTGTTTTTTCTCTCTTTGCTGTCTTTGAAAATACTCAGTAAACGGTCTGCAGCATCTCCTTAGCGTGTGAATGACTTGGAGCTGTAACTATAAAGTGCATTCCACTCTGGTTTGAAGCAAACAGGGGATCTGAATTTGTTCCACAGCACCAAGTTTTGAGACCTTCAAGTTCTTACCATAAGCCAAAAATATGGCAAATATAGTTATGATTAGTAAGTTGATTATGTAAGTTGATTAGTATATAAGTTGATTAGTAAGTTGACTTATGATTAGTAAGTTGAAATGATTGATAAGTGGAAATCTGAGAGTAAGGGGCAATAAAAACATGTTTCACTGTCTATAGCTATTGGTGAACAAGGACATTATTTCACTAGGTAACAAATACATAGGCTTACATATTGAGGTATGTGCAGAGGAGAATGATGCTGACTACAGTGCCAGGTAGAGAAAAGCTTTCTAAACATGCAATAATTACATACCACTAAGAATTATATACGCTATGGTGATAGTCATATTAGAATAGTACCATAGAGAAATCTTATAGGTGACACAGCATATGTTTAAGTAATAGCAAAAACATGGTGAACCAATACTGAAGCAAAATACTCTGTAGATACCTGCTTTGGTTGGTATAAAGAGACTTCAAAGTAAGTAAGCTGTTACTTACATGGTTTTGAAGAGTGATTTTTAAAGCAGCTTTAATGCAGATGTTTATGTTACAGCCCAGCTTGCCTGGCTATTAGAACCAGATTTAAATTGAGATCACCTTTTGGGGGGACTACAAAATAACCCACAGATAGAAAGTGGCTGAAGACAGAAGCTTTGTGGTTGTGTTCAGTGGGAGCTAAGCATATCCATGGCTCACATAGGCCAGGCTTTCAGGCTGATGGGGAGATCAGTTTCCTCCTGCCCTCATAAGACTTGGGAAGGTAACATGGATTTTATTTGATACAGATGGTCATTTGCTTTGGAGATTCCCTATATCTAACACTACAGACATAAGATATTTGGAACACTCGCTATTTAAGGCAGATTCTCTAGACAACTGTGAAGGGATATTGAGAGTGGACATATGAAGTAATACATGTATTTTAGGAACTTCTCTGTATGCTGAGCATGGTGCATACATCTGCAATCAGCACAGCAAAGACCACTGCTAGTTCAAGGCCAGGCTGGGATAAAGAGTGAGACCATGTCTCAACAAAATAAAATATTTTTAAAAAGAAAGGAAGGAAAGGAAAGAAGTAAGAAAGAATAGAAAAGAGAAAGGAAAAGATAGGGAAAAAAGAAAGAAGAAAAGGGATCCTCAGTAATGTGGTACAGCTACTGCTAGTTTTTAAAAACTTGCTGTGGTGTATCCTGATTCCATTTCCATTATCTGATCATAAATTTACTCTAGACATATACTGTCCAGTTCAAGAGGCACTGGCCATGGATGACTGTTGAGTTCTAGAGATGAGCCTTGTATAGTGCAAAGGTAGACATGTCGTGTAATTGCTAAGTACATACCAGATTTTGATGGCTTGAGATGATAAAACGAATATAAAATATTCCATTAACACTTTCTGTTAATTACTTGATAAGATAAAAACATTTTGTATATATGGGACCAAATAAAACACATTATTAAAGTCAGTTTTGCTTTTTAATGTGGAAACTGGAAGGTCTCATTTCATTCGTCATTCACGTCGTATTTCTTTAGGGCAGAGCTGATAGAGTTGATAGGATAGCATTTTCTTACCTCCCTAACAGCTCCTTTTCCCTTGCCCCTTCCCTTCTCACTACTAACTGTGGGTGGAGGCAGCTGGGCCATGTGTAGCTTGGTCATTGTCCCTCGGCATCCTATTACTTCTAATTTGCTTGCATTTGTCCTCACTGTGAATAAATGGTGTGACACCAGCCCTGAGCATCTGTCTTCTCCATTTGTTTCTTGGTCCCCTATTGTCAGATGTTGGCTCAGTAGCCAGAAGTGTAAGGCTACTATGATGTATCTTTCAACTCCTTGAAGCTCCTCTCCTCCTTTTAAATACACCTCATGAAGAACAAAACTGTCTGTTGCTGGATTGTTTGAATATTTTGGTGGCCTGACACAATGGTGATGATCCCTGAGGTGATACCAGTTGCTGGTTGGATCATAGTCTTGATAGTGATGATGATAGACTTTGGTTTATAACTTCAGAAATATTTCTGTGTGTGTGTTCTCATTTGTTTTCTTTATTCTTTTTCTGTTTTACTGATGATTGAACCTAGGGTCTTCTGCATGCTAGGTGAGTGTTCTACCACTGAGCTATAGCTCCAGCCCTCTTTTTGCTCTTTTGTATTTGAAACAGTCTTACTAAGCTTCCTAGACTGACTTGGAACTCACTCTGCATCCCAGGTTGATTTTGAACTTGCAATCCTTCTGTCTCAACCTCCCAAATAGTTGGGATTCCTGTGCCACCAGGATCAGGTCCCAGATCGCTATGTGACTGATCCTGTGTCCTTTAAAGCCTCTGTGATCTGTGAGCTGTCAGGGTTCAGGTAAACCAGACCACAGATTCCTTCCTGCTTATAGACAGGAATCTTCTCTTAGCACAGTGTGAGACTTCGCAGTTTTGCCTCTGCAAGCAAGATAGGTTTGAACCCTAGGAATAATAGGACTATCATCCTCCAAGGGTCCCTGGAAGGATCAAAAGAGAAAATTATGCAAAGCACTTACTGTGGGAGTTAATGATGCTAGCTAGCTTTTATTATCGATTGTCAGGTGAAGCAGCTCTCTGTTATACTCTCCACTTTTCTCGTTACCTGGCTTCATTGTTTAAAAACAAGGATCCTCATTTAATCTCCCTGAGAAGGCTTTTAGAATAATATAGTTGTCTTATTGATAGGTTGGGTTGAAACAACCTAACCTTTGCTACACTTTGTTCTACCTTCTCTCTGCAGATTTGTTAGCAAACATCTCTTTCTGGTTTCTTTTAACTCAATTGCTTGTTGTCCTTGTGAGTACATATTTCAATTCCAGGAAGGAAGGGCAGCACTCTTAATTCCTGGTTCTGTGTTCCTTCCATATGTTCTATGTTCTTTGTCAATGTTCTTGACTAACTGATCATTTCATCTTCCTGTAACCCTAAGTGAGACTCTACCAGAAAATGAGACAAAAATCACCATAGCCCCTGAGCCTTACCTTTTCTGTTAATAGCCGTCATACTGTAAACAATGCATGTACTGCTACCTTTGGGGAAAATGAAAGACACCATTGTAATGTACACCTTGTATAAAGGCATTCTCCCTGTGGTAAGGTCCTTCTGTGATGCCTGAGTTCCTTGGCAACTTAGTGTATACTGTTTTAATTGCTACAAAGCCTTACCTGCTTTCCTGTCCTTAGAACACCCACCCTGTCCTTGCTTCTGCTCTAAGCCTGAGTCCCAGCCAGGTCTATACATCTAGCATCTTATGACTTTGATTCCCCTGATTTCTACCTGATTCCTTCTAGCTCTTTCAAGCCAGGATATATCTACCTCTAAGCTCCTGAGTGAAAGCTCAGAACAAAATTTTTAAAGCAGAGACTTATACAAACTGTTCCCACTAGAAGAATATCTTCAGTCTTGGTGGGTCATCATTCCTGTCACCTTAGTGTATTCTTCTCCTTGAGGAGAGGGAATTACAAGTCCAAGTAGGCATTCATGGTTCATTATTGAATGGGAGGGACTCTAATGACTTACCTAGAAATAGTAAAGAAAGCAAGAGTACCAGAAATTGAAGTCGAAAACTCAAATGTTTTGTGTTCAGCTATCATAATGGTTAGATATATTGGCCTCCACTTTTTTCTCCTAGGACCACAGAATTGTTGATTAAATGGAAGCAGTGCAGCCGAACATTTTCAAGAGAAATTGAATTCATTCCAAAAAGTGCTGTTTTTCATGTTTTTCCTTCCTATTCCTTGGTCATTGGTGCTAAGAAAAGAAAAAAAGAATAACTTTCAAATTACTTTTGAATCAAATTCTGCCAGCTAATTTCTAGGTCTTCCTGCTTTGCTGACCTTCCTCACTCATGGAGTCATAATTTTGTCTGTGTAATAGGTAAAGGGATTCATCTAGTTAGCTGTGAATTTCCCTCTAACCTAAGGCTGGTGTTGTGAAGGAACATTAACCATTATCTCTTTTGGAAAAAGAATAACTTTCAAATTACTTTTGAATCAAATTCTGCCAGCTAATTTCTAGGTCTTCCTGCTTTGCTGACCTTCCTCACTCATGGAGTCATAATTTTGTCTGTGTAATAGGTAAAGGGATTCATCTAGTTAGCTGTGAATTTCCCTCTAACCTAAGGCTGGTGTTGTGAAGGAACATTAACCATTATCTCTTTTGGGCTTAGAAATTTGGGAAAAAATAGCAAGTGATCTATTTAATTTTTAAAGGTTAAAAAATTGAATCACTATAACTAATTAGGTTAAAAAAATTGAAATTTTAAAAGTTGCACTACATGAGTAGTTTTAAATGTATTAATAGATGGGCCATTGAAAACATTTGAACTTCTAAAAATATTCATTAAAATGAACTTGGTTTGGGTTTAATAAACAAATGGTTACTATAATTGTCACCTTTGGTAGATAACCATTGAATTCTAGGAATGTGGAATTAGACTAAGCGAAATTTGGTTGTAAAGTCACTGACTGACCGAGCCAGGAAGATAACTCAGCTGGTGAAGGAGCTTGCTGCCAAGCCTGACTACCTGAGTTCAATCCCTAGAATCCACACGATGGAACAAGAGAACACAAGCCTGCAAGTTTTCCTGTGGCTTCCACTTATGCACCATGCACACACACACCCCAACAGATACACACAATACACTTCCATGCACACATGTGTTAAATAAATAAATAAATAAATAAATAAATAAATAAATAATAAATAACAAATAAATAAATATAAAAGTCACTGATGG